CTGTCCATGCATCGACGCTGCACGAGTGTTTGGTCAAACGGAATGGCTACACCCACTATTGACAATGTTCATGAAGAACTATGGCTTTTCAGACTTTTGAAATCCGACCAGTGTGACTTAAACTCATTTTACATTAACTTCTCGTTTTTGTTGAAATTTGAAATTGTATACACTTAATCTAGAGAGTTGAAAGCATCGTTTTTGAAAAAATGAATAAATTCGGTTAAAGTGTTCTTCAGTTATCTTTCTTTGAATTTTGTTCCTTGACTTTTGTGTGCGAGTTTATAATAATCATATAATAAATGTATAGAGATTCTCTGTTCCTCTATATTATAGCTGGGTTTCCCGTTCGATGAACAGACTCAAAAGAATTTATCGTTGAGTCATTGTGGAAACATTGCACGCACTCTTTGTGAACGGAAGCCTCATTTGTTTACCATGGCGTCTTAGAAGACTGACTTTCCCAAGATTAGATTTAAACGAAACTAATGAAAAGCTGAAAATTAAACTACATTGACGTCATACTCCTCATGTGACGAAACACATCCCTGCCTCACTCCTCTTCCAATCTGCTCATATTTGTTGTTTCTCCTTTAATTCTTACCAGCAGCGTTTTGGTCCAAGCACAAACTGTTGATAATTCATATATCTGTTCCATCTATGTCGAGCTCTTCCAATATTATAAATAGCTTATCATATCTAACTGTATTGAAATCTTTTTTTAATATTCTATGAAGCATTAAATATAGACCTATATATTCACCAATTTCGATACCCTACTTATATCATTTTAAAAACTATTCGATTACAAAAGGGGAGTGGGGGGCGAGTAAAGGCAAGCACTAATATATTTTACTATTTTTGCTGTTCATGACAACAGTATCTTGAAATCTGACTACATTGACATTGAAGTGTCATATAAAGAACATGTTCGAAGGTTTTTTTTAATTTTCGCAGAAAATGTGGTCACCATGGCGGCCATCTTGAATTTTTTATGATTTCAGCCTTTCTCATTTCTAAAAAAAAAACTATTCAAGATTCAGCCCTCAGATTTGCAGCGTACTTACTAAACAAACTGGGATGTGTCATAATGAAAAGAAAATATGATATTTAAGACTATTTTATGTGTAGTTTGAAAAAAACACACATATACATTAGTTTTAAAACACTCTGCTAACACAACCAAGAATTTTGTCAAATTCAAAGACAATATGCCCCCTTCATTATGTCATTTAGACAACATTTCTACACGTCCTTGCAAAATATCATAAATATATTGGAAAATAACTTGGCAATTTGGGAAAATCTTAAGAGACCCATGCTGAAAGTGCCAACGGGAGAAAAGCATCGAAATGACTGCGTCATCTGCTCTTACGGAAATAAACGAATCTATTTGGCTGGATCTGGTGACCTATCTCAACGATTTGCAGTGTTATTGAATGAATGCGTACGGTGCTGGGTAGAGCTGGGCGAAGAATCGAAACCAGAACCGGTTCCCACGATTAATTCTACGGAAGAAAAGTGTCGACTCCTTTTTACGTAAACCAACGGTCACCAGTTACCTTAATTATTAAAAATCTTCTCTTTTTTTTTTTGAATTTATTTTTTGAAAAATGAAAGTTGATGCTTTGTAGTGTTCCAAAATCAAGGCCATCCTAAATCCTGAAGATGTCCGGAGCCAACCGGGTAACCATCGAAAAAAAAATCACATCATTAGAAAGTTAGTAATTGGGTTCGGAGTCGATTCCTACGATTCCTAGCTTGCAAGAATAGGGAACCTCGCCGCCCAGCACTAGTGCTTGGAGTTATTTTATCAGATTGATCACTAAATGCCGTTTTCAGTGGTATACAGCATGCCAACCTTCTATTCAAAGTAACATATTGGTTGCTGCAATGTTTTATAACCCAAAACTAACGAGGTAGCTCTTTTTGTGATCCTAACAGATCTCCCTTAGGTTACAAAACAGAAAATGTGTATATTTATTGTGTTTTCTAAGCTTTGGAAACACGTGGAACATGTAGTTTAATGGTCTAACACTATTTCTAGCCCAACATCCGGAAATCGATTTTTCAAGCCAAAAACACCCAAAAAATGTATTAGTGCTTGCCTTAAGGATCAAACTTTCCGCACGCACAAAGGGCTGTGACGTCATGGGGGGGGGGGGCGAATTGCAAAGCGTCCGCCTTCTCGCAGCAAGATTTTGGTAAAATGACTCATTACACGTATTCTTCTATGCATCTCACAGTCAGTGGCTCCTGGTGTTTTAGGTAAAGCTATTAAAACTGACTTCATCTTATCAAGCGAGATACTCACTTTATAAAAAGATCATCCTCTTTCACTAGAATCGAAGTGCCTAACTGCTACTACTACACACACTTTCTCTAGCATACTTTTGTTTGTTCTAGTAAGAGTTTTACGGCGCTCACTAGTGCATAAGGTCATATGAGCGCGCCTTGTATATGTTGGCTCTCGGCAAGTTTCTGTGACGTCAGAGGCTTCGTGATTCTGAAAGTTAAGTCCAAAAAAAGAGAAAAACTGGCAATGGGGGTTTGTTTGTTTGTTTTAGTAGAGGGTTTACGGCGCACGCCAAGGGGTGGATGTAAACAGAGATGTCCTTACAGGGAATCAGACTTACTCTGCTCACCTCTCTAGCTTCAGCAGCACAAGGTCTGCTTCGACTATCAAAGCATCCCGGAAATAGCAGGCCACAAGAGTGTGACAGACATACAAAAGATAGAGAAAAATGATGATAGTAAAGATTAGGAAAGAAAAGGCAGCAGTTCCCTGTTGTAGTTCAGGTACAGTTAAGAGCATGACATTGTTAGATCAGCCCACTTACAATTTTTTTGTGCACTAGAACGAGAAATGTCTCCCCTTTGGGAATGGCCTAAAGACACTTCAGTGGGGATGGGTATGAAGGGGTGTGAGGGGGGGGGGGGCGTTGCACACATGCCATGTCGATGGCTGTGGCCCTCTGCAGAAAAAAAATTGAAGCCAAGGATCATTAACTAGGCATCTGAAAAATAAGACACTGGACGAAAAATATAATTTTGCATTCCTTTCAGCTCCGATTGGCCCTGATAGGGGCGCAAAAACACTTCCATTAAAAAAGAAACCTTCGCGGGGGCATAAATCACAAATGCAAAAACAATGACAAGAGGCGACAACAATATGTGTGTGTGTGTGTGTGTGTGTGTGTGTGTGTGTGTGTTTGTGTGTGTGTGTGTGTGTGTGTGTGTGTGTGGGTGTTTGTGTGTGTGTGTGGGGAGGTGGGGGTGTGTGTGTGTGTGTGTGTGTGTGTGTGTGTGTGTGTGTGTGTGTGTGTGTGTGTGTGTGTGTGTGTGTGTGTTTGTGTGTGTGTGTGGGGGTGTGTGTGTGTGTGTGTGTGTGTGTTGTAACAAACTCCAGAACAATGTATAGATAAATGTACAGTAGTAAACTCCAGAACAATGTATGGATGAATGTACAGTAGTGTGACTAAGACTCTCCCCAACATAGAAAGATACAACATCTGGGAAGAAAGACCGAGATACTTAATAACATTTTTCTCCCCACTTGAAAATCTTAACCCGGGTCTCCTGCGAGCGACAGCAAAGCGCCTAACCGCTACACCGCAGATGCGAAGGTGTTTGATGTGAGGAATAAACGTCGTCATGGTCAAAAATTAATATTATTCCGAGGAAACAAACCTGGGTCTGGGTGACTATCTTTTCCCAAATCCAGTTACAGCGCACGTCTCTCGAAAAGGCAAAAGAGCGCTGCAACCGCCATGGCTGGGGTAAACTTGAAACCATTTTTGAGGTGATTCTTTTTGTGCAAAGGAGCAGGATGATCTGGTTGTGTATTTCTTCAGGACCTGGGTCTGTATTGTTCAGGTCCAATAATCTATGTATTCTTGTGAGTTCGACTGGAACGAAGACTTCGTTGCAACACGTAAGTCTTTGCTTTATTTGAATTGGAGTTAAAGTGTTATTGTTCGTCAGCGGCCCGTCGTTGTGTCATTGAGAAAGGATTCTACACGTATGTTCTTCACTTAAAATCCATGTGGGGAAGTGTAGCCGATCGTGTCAGTTTGTTAGTGTTTTTGCGCTTGCAATTTGCAGGCTGCTACATATGCTTTACGGGAAGTTAAGAATGTTTCTAGGTGTTTAAGGATCTACTGAAGTAAAATGTGAAACAGCGTGGTGGAACGAGGCGCTCGTCAAAATAATGAAATCGAAGAAGCCGGTAATTTTCCACCGGTCTAGCAGTTTTTATCGAATTTTTGGGTTTATGTTGGTTCAACACCTTTTATGCCCATTCAAAAACACATTACTGTCTAGATTTTACTGAAAAACGTTGATTAAAGGTACAAAAATATGTAAATGCTCACTTTCCAAGAATTCTCACGATTTGGAAGTCACCGAACTGTGGCGGCCATTTTCTCGCTAATTTGACTTCTGAAACTAAGCAACCCCAGCCTCCTTCAATCGCAAAAACCTTGACTTTTATTCAATATAAATTGGTATTTTCTTCGCCAAATGCGATACAAATTAACAAGTTTTAAAATGATATTATTAATAAAACTCCATATGCCCAAAAATTGACGAGAGCCTGATTCCACCTCGTCGTGACAAAAATAGATGTAAAGTGCACAGCGCGTGACGTAGAGTGTGAATATGCGCTCTATTAATGCAATTATTACATGTATCATACTTGCAATACCCGACACTAAACCCCTACAATATTTTATATTGGTTGGTTGGTGGGTACTCTGGTGTAGTTTGCTCCTCCTTTTCTATGAAACATATAAAATTATTATCGTCCTTATCTCTCCTTCTTTGTGTGTGTGTTACTCGTTTGTAACGCCTGTAGTCTTCGGCACTTATTTGTCCTTATTATGTTGCATGTGCTGTAAAACTGTTTCTAAAACTAAAAACAATATTGTGCATCATTATTCTCTTGAACTTGAACCTGTCCAAATGGTTCAACTAATAGTTTGATTTTGTTTTTCTTTCAGCTGGCAGGTAGTTTCCGGGGTACACTTTGGCATCTTTGAAATCAGGCTTACTAAGCTACCCACGAAGAACATCACAATGTCTGGCTTTCGTCAGTCCTGGAAATATTTCGCATCTGCACAAAATGAATTGAAGAAAGAATTCACATTCAAAGAACGTATTTCAGCAGACGCCAAAAATCTGGAGGAAGAAATTCGACGGAAATTTCCTAACAGAACTTTGGTTGGCGTGCATGCGAGGAGAGGAGATTTTTTGACGAGTCGAAAATTGGGCTATAATAGCCCAGCTCCTTCTTACTACTACAAAGCGTTTGACAGAATGATCAAAGAAATAGGACCAAAGACGTCTTCGCTGTTGTTTGTAGTGTCCAGTGACGATCTCAAATGGTGCGCGGCCAATATCAAGAGACCTGACGTGCATGTTTTGAGCCCGGCTTCGGCCCAGCTTCATTTGGCGTTCCTGGCGCGAACTAGCCACGCCGTTATCTCAGCTGGTACCTTCAGCTGGTGGGCCGGCTGGCTGACCGGAGGAAAGGTCATCTATTTCTCAGGGTATCCCAGGAACGGCACATTCCTCATGAACGATTTTAAGGCTGAGGATTATTACCCACCACATTGGATAGGAATCGGAGACTGATTTGTATGTGTCCAGGTCTGGGATTGGGGACTTACGTGTACACTCTGTCTTAGGTGTGGGATTGGGGACTGACTTGTCCACACATAGGTCTGTCTACCTCATTAATTTATTTTTTACTCCTTTTGCTTATTCCCTGCTGTAAAGAAAGCAAATGAATGGACAGAAAAATGTTAGCTTTGAACGTTTCTTGGTGATTATTGTAAGAATGTGCTTGGCTTTTTAATTGCATGTATATGTACTTGATAATATATTTATGCTTTTCCACGATATGTTTTTGATATTAGTAAATTTAATCGTAATAGTGAACGATTACCCAAATAACATTTTAAAAATAGATCACTAAGAACGATGTAGCCTCTTCTACCTTGTTTCCTGTTTCAAAAAGAACAGACAACAACATACACCAAAGAGATGTATGGTAATGCTGATGGATATATGCGTTCTGTGTAATTATAAGACGGTGTTTCAGGAAGTTTCCATTGAAAAACGGGCAAAAAGATAGGAAAGGGAGGCAAATGGTTCAAATTCACACCAGAACATGGTTTTAACACCGGAGCATGGATAGTTAAAGTAGAAATGGGAAGTGTCTGTTTGTCCAGGTGATGTCTAATGAAGGTGGCCTTTGGCTGGGAGGAAAAAGAATAACACTGAAATTCTTAGAGGCATAGGCCTTTCACGTAAAACAGATGAATTTGTCATACAGCTAGTAGGAAAATTTAGTCTCTGGTACATATTATATATGTACTACACTAATGGAAAGCAAAAGTTCTGTAAACTTCCAGAAAGTTTACCTCAATAACATCTGGTGATCTCTATGTCATCTACTTGAACCATTTGAAAGGAAACTCGAGATAATAATTAAATAATAGTTGATAAATCTGTGTAGAGTACATTTATAGCTATATAGTTTACAAGTTTTGTTGTTGTTGTTGTTTTTTAATAAAAGCGCAACAAACTCTGCATAAACTATGTTTTCCTCCCCGACAATGGGTGGTCGTATTGGACACGTTCGATTGTCAATAGAATATTATAAAACTTTCAATAATACCCAACCTTCCTCTGGTTCCCCCCCAACCCCCTTTTTATAAACTACCCCTTTTAATTGCAATTCCCTATCCAATTCCCCAATACTCCCCACCCCAAAACACCACGATAAAAACGCAACGGTGGTATATTTTGATTGATCACTCTCTTGTACCTTAGAAGAGTGGAGCAGCGGTTAAGCTTCCTGTCGTCCTACGCAGAGGACCTGTGTTGAATGTCCGTATGATGAAGTTTCGTTGTTTTTTGTTGTTTTTTGTTTTGTTTCTTGTTGTTGTTGTTTTTTGTTGTTTTTTTTTGTTGGGGGGGTATGATGTTGGTTTTTGTTGGGTTGAGTTGTTCTTATCCCTCTAAGACGGGGTTGACCTTGACTATTAATTGCATATTCATAAAATGTATCTTTGAGATGGAATTTTAGTTTAAAAGTTTGTATTTAAATATAGATGAAACAAAATGCATAGTAATATCTCGACGGCCCATGGCAAGAAGGGACTATACTTTTCAGTTTCGAGAAAAACGAGTTTTAACTTTGGAAGATATTGAAATCTCTATGACATAACCAAAAAAAAAAACAAATTTTAGTATCTCGATACCGAATTAAGCTATGGCTTGGATATTTACAGAGGTAAAAGAGAGGCTTAAAATCTCACTAATCATAATAATGATAATAAATTGCATATTTATATAGCGCTCAACCCCGTTTAATTAAAGTACACAGGCTCTGAGCGCTTTACAATACCACACAACAGTACCCTAAAACGGTGTGTTCTGACCAAAAGAAAACCTCTTTAAATATTCATCTTATCAATTTTTTAAGGCTTCAGCTGACATCTGAATGAATCAAAGGATTTGATCTCTCTTAAACTTCTTAGTAAAACATTCTAGATCTTGGAGCCTTGCTATTCAAATGCCCTTTCACCCGTTGTTTTAAGTTTCATAGATGGAAAAAAAATTCTTTTTGTCAGCTGATGACCTTAAACTGCGAGTTGGAATGTGCAGTCTCAACAGATTTGATAAATACGATGGCGCATTAGCATTCGAGCCTAATTTGTGACATAGAGTGACCATCTTGTACCTTTTTTTCTCAACAGGAACCCAGTGTAGTGTTCGTAAAAGAGATTCTGCAGAGTCTGGCATTCTTTTCCGTAAAACTAAACATGCAGCATTGTTTTGGACAGTTTGAAGTCTTTACTTTCTCCTGTGATATTCCTGATAATAAGGAGTTATTAGTAATCGAGTCTTGATAAAACTAAGCTAGTTACTAGTTAAACAGTATACTTAGTATTGATTAGAGTTTACTAATTTTTCTTATTAATGTATTTCTAAATGCGTGCAGCTGATCAGCTGGTTTACCTCAGCTGACATTGACCAACTGAAGCAAACGGAACTATCGAAAGTCCAAACAAGCACTTTCAACGCATAAACCAGACGGTGAGGAAGAAAGGGCAAGGCAAGGGTAGTAAGGCGGATGTTTGTCGTCGGAGCTTATTACATTGCATTTGCGCAACTTGGAAATCTCCACACAAAAAAACCGAGAATATAAGTTACGCACGAAGGCTATTTACAGAACGATAAAGAATTTTCGAGAACATGTCAAACAAGTAGATTAGGCCTACCGGTGTGTGTGTGTGGGTGTGTGGGTGTGTGTGTGTGTGTGTGTGTGTGTGTGTGTGTGTGTGTGCGTATTTGTGTGTGTGTGTGTGTGTGTGCGCGCGCGTTCGTGTGCGCGCGAGCGTGTGAGTGTGCATCTCTCTCTCTCTCTCTCTCTCTCTCTCTCTCTCTCTCTCTCTCTCTCTCTCTCTCTCTCTCTCTCTCTCTCTCTCTCTCTCTCTCTCAGTGTGTGTGTGTGTGCCAGTGTCTCTGCTTTTGTGCGTGTTTTTACTCTGCAACTACAAAATCACGATTCGTTCTTGCGTGTCAAGGACCGAGGTTTAGGAAAACCATTGCGAAGAGGGACAATAGGTAGCGATAGCTAGCCATGTGCAGCTAATAATAATTTGTTGCTTTGAATGTCCTATCTGGACTGTAGTATATGATATATGATCACAATTAGTTGAAGTGTAGAAGTTTAACACCTGGATGGTTATTTTTGCCAGTTTGTTTGTTTCTTTGTTTGATTGGTTGTTTGTTTATTTTTGTTAGGTTTTTGTTTGTTCGTTAGTTTGTCCGTCTGTCTATTTGTTTGTTTGCTTGTTTTAGTTGGGCTTTTGTTTGTTTGTTTGTCTGTCTGAGAGAAACTTGCTGGTGATGTTGCTGCAACCACTGGTTCGGGAGACAGCTGGTTTGATGATGATGATGATGATGATGATGATGATGATGATGATGATGATGATGATGATGATGATGATGATGATGATGATGATGATGATCCAAAAGCCATTAACAATCTGCCAGAACTACAAACTTGCATCAATATAATCATACCATTCGTTCTAAAAAAAATTCTTAAAAATCTAGGGGTCCTGTCGGGATTATGATATTGTTTTGTTTGTTTTTAAAAAGTGTTTTACGGCATAAGGTCCTATGAGCGCGCGGGACACACCTAATATTTTCAATTTTGAATTTTGCCCGGGTGGCGGCCGAAGCCTACTCTTATCGATTTTTTACCACCAAGGGATCTTTAACGTGCGCAACTTGCACACGGGCCCTCCGAAATTTTTTGCCCTTCTCCGAGAAGGCTAGGTGTAGATCTTTCCTACCAGAAGATCAGGGGTGTGGCAGAAAGACAGCAGTAAGGAAGAGCCAAGGAGTAGCAGTAGAAAGGCTGCAGAAAGAGTCAGGAGACCAGAGGAGGGGGCAAAGAAGGTGAGGGGGTGGGGGGCAGAAAGTGGAAATGAAAGCAGACAACAGAACATTGCTAGAGAGCAGGAAAGGGGTGAAAGGAGACAATTTTAGAGAAAAAAATGTTTCGATCACTACCTGGATTCGAACCCGGGACCTTTGAATGAGAGGCCAACACCTTAATCTCTAGGCCACGAAAGCCCCCGATTATGATATGTCTATGTCCTCCCTAATAAGTTCAGCATAAGTATCTATTTTCACCTTTTAAAAATTGGCAGTGTGCGAAAATAGTTAACTATACCAGTAGCCAAGGCATTAGTAACAACACTGATTTTTATCAAAATTGGATTACTGTAATGCTATTTTATCGAGTTTGACGGCTGAAAAACTGTCAAAGTTACAAGTGCTCCAAAATCAAGCAGCAGCATTGATAATGAAACTAAAGAAATCAGCACACGTAACACCAATCTGAAAGAAATACACAGGCTGCCAGAAAAAGAAATTATTAAATACAAAACTGCCGTTTTCTGTTTTAAATTTCTGAATGATACAGTATCTATTTATCTAAAACAATTTCTGGAATTTTATCACCCACCCAGAACCCTTACATCAGCCATGGTTAAACTTATTTTTAGAACCCAAAAACGAAAATACAAAACATACGGCTAGCGCTCTTTTCTACTCTTTGATCTCCACGAATGAAACGAACTCCCATATGAAAGAACAATTTACATTTTCATAAAGTAGCTGAAGCATTTTTATTCACAAATTAAGCATACCTGTCCTGTCGGTGACCTGGTATACGACATGCATGAGTTAGCCCGACCGTGAGACTGATGAAATGTGAGAATGAAAGAGAAAGGGGGAGGGGGGGGGGGGCAGAGATGGAAAGAGAGACACAGAGACAGAGAGAGAGACAGAGAGAGACAGGGGAAGATGGAGAGAGACAGAGAAAGACGGAGAGAGAGAGACAGTCAGACAGACAGACAGACAGACAGACAGACAGACAGACAGACAGACAGACAGACAGACAGACAGACAGACAGACAGACAGACAAGAATAACGCTTTTTTAATAATGATAAAATAAGACAAGAGTTACACCCTCAGAGATTTCGTCCATAAAATGTTGTTGACGTCATTCGAAAATTTTCCAAACATTTCTCAACATCGGCAAATATTTGGGGCTACAATTTGAATTCTCCCAAAGCTCCTCGGTCTTTAAAAAATGGGTGAATCCGGTGACGCCGCTTGGATGCAGGGTAATAATGCAGAAATATCTTGCGCTTCCTCGTTAGCGCCATCTTGAAACCGGAAAAATGTGTATGGTCTGTGTGAACAGTATAACCGCACTTTTCTGTACAGAATGTTTCTGGCCCGGAAAAAGTATGGTCTGTAAGGAGCCTGTGTGTTTGACCTCTTAGTGAGTTTTAATTGCATTCTGTATATTTTGTAGTTAACGCATTCTGTAATTTCCTCACTGTAATTTCCTTACAGATTTTTTTAAAACGTAGACATGCATACATAGTACTATGTTTTAAGAAAAAATAATGTCCAATATTTATTTGGAGGTGATATCTTTATGAATGCAATGCGCATTTGGGTATTATTTTTTAATTTTTTTTTTAGAAAATGGAAATGTGCAGTGTAAATGCTGCTGCTGCTGCTGCTGCTGCTGCTGCTGCTGCTGCCGATGATGATGATGATGATGATGATGATGATGATGATGATGATGATGATGATGATGATGATGATGATGATGATGATGATGATGATCCTTCATTTGGGTGCCCATGGTACACATCAGCTCAGCGATGTTTGAATAGAGAGCGAAGAGACAGTACTCAGTCTAGGTCATTTTCTAATTCAACTCTCTGGATATAACACCACAGATTTAAGTAGAGCGAAAGTATTGACAACATTTCTAACTAAATGCCCTTTGTCTTTGATTCACATACTACGCAGCAATACCATCGCCTCACTAATTGCAAGACACGGTAACCCTAGCTAGCTAAGTAAAAAAAACAACCAGGGCACTGCACAGTGGCGGCCAGCTATTGCGTATCTGTAAAACTGTCTACATTAGTTTGATTTTTTTTGGATTTTTTTTTTTTGGGGGGGGGGGGGGGGGGTATTTTTT